TTATATACCAAAAGATGGGCATCGAAGGTGGGCCGAGGAGGCCACAACCCACCAGGGCGCGCCAGGGGGCCCTGGCGCACCCAGGTGGGTTGTGCCCATCTGGTGCCCCCCCCCCTCTTGTAGTTATTTGCTCCAATAATTCTTATATATTCCATAAAAATCCCCGTGAAGTTTCAGCTTGTTTGGAGTTGTGAAGAATAGATAGCCCGACGTAGCTTTTCAGGTCTAGATTTCCAGCTGCCAAAATTCTCCCTCTTGATGTGTACCTTGCAAATTATGAGAGAAAATGCATTAGAATTACTCCAAAAAAGCATTATTATGGATAAAAACAACATAAATAACAGTAAGAAAACATGATGCAAAATGGACGTATCAATCTACACTCTAAAATGTGTTTATATACATCCGTATGTGGTTCATAGTGTAATCTCTAGAAAAACTTATATTTGGGAACAGAGGGAGTAGATCGCATGGCGAAGCAGACCCAAAGCAGATCACATGTGGACGAGCAACCTCTAGGCATAAGGGTGCCGCCACCTTGCCATGGCTACCGGAGAGGAGCTACTGCCCGAAGTCGAGCTCACTGTGGCGCCGCACTCATCGAGCCACACAGCAAGAGGGGTTGTGCCTTCCCCGCCGCGAGCGCCCACCGTCGAGCAAGAAGAAGGCCCTACCACTGCCGCCCACCGTGTTGGCTTAGCTCAGCGGCGTCCTTCGACGGCGGCAAGGGAACTGAGGTAGGAGAGGACGGGTACCAACGGCACTGGCTATCTGTCCTCCCGTGTTGCCAGACAAGCGAGGCCGAAGCGTGAGAGGTAAGTGAGTAACTCAAGATTGAACTATTGAAAAGCACAATGCATACATGCATCCACGGGTAAAATCTAACGGTTGAAAAAACAGCACTTGCATGCATTCACGGGCAAAATCTAACGGTTGAAAAATGGGTTGCATTTCAAGAAAAACAGTCTGAGTTGTAGAAATTGAGGGAAAATGGTTTTGTTTCTACCAAGATGGTGACGTTTGAAAAGTAGTCTATCTTCTTAAGAAGAAAATTGTTGCATGTACAAGCACAAAGATTACATGCATCTCCGTGCAAGATTCGAGGTTAAAAATCGTTTGCATTTTAAGTAAAGAAACATATGCCTGTGTTGTGGAAAACACGAGAAAACTAGACAGCCCAAATTAGTTCGTTGGTGCATTAAAACCTCTTCAATATCTATGGGCTAACGACTTTCTAATAATCTGAATGAGAGTGCTCTCGCTGTGCAATGTGAAAAACATGGACACACTAGCGTGCAACATGTAATATGCCACGAGAGAGGATTTATGGCACGTAGGTGCGGGGCAGCGAACCCCTCGTGCGCGCTTTTTATTTTGACTTCCGATTTCAATCTTTCATATCTTTTGAATGACAAGTCCAAACTAAATTGTGTTTTCATATTCGTGTTTCTTGTAATGAGGGCTTTCAGATAAGATTCATTTTGAAACGTTTTTGATGAATTTATAAAAATTCTATTAAATTCTAACTCTTGAAACCTAGTATCAGCTACCGACAAAATCATAACTTTAGTATCTGCAACGACAAAAAATTCACGTAAAATTTAAATTCTGAAACTTGATACGAGCGACCGAGAAATTTGTAAGTTTCCAAGATTAAAATGTAAAACTTACTGTACCCTCGTGCGGGATGCAAATACTGTGCAGATTGCCACGGCCGAGCAGGGCTGGGCAGGTGCGTGCTCCCACGCCTGTGTTGGAATTTCCATATGCTAGGAAGATGGTTGAGAATAATAATAATATGCTAGGAATATATATGGTTGAGAAGTTGGCACGCACGGTCTTATACGTACTATCATCGCTCATGTACTGATGGATATTTTTGATCTAGGTGTGCACTGCTCTGAGGTTACGTATTTTTCCCATGATCTTGTAATGGAAGATCGTGAGTGGAAAGAAACGTTCGAAGGCATGCAAAGCCCGGGAAAATATTGGTGCTCCGGGAGCCCCTAAGTTTTAGAGCATGTTCAGCCGTGCCCTCAACAGGCCTTTCAGGTAATTTTTTCGGCGCTGACGCTAAAAAAATGGCCCAGTCGTACTCCAAGAACCCGTTTTCCATCGGATTGGGCCGAAATTGACGTTGACATACCCAACTTGAACCTGATGCGTTGGGGGTCGCCTGGGGGCGTCGGACGGACCGTTTTTGGCGTGAACTGTGATGGGCCCGCCCTGTCAGCGACGCGTCGCTTCGTCGTCCACATCGCCTCGTTTCCTACGGGATTCATTGCCAAAGCTGTCGCGCCGTCGCCTCCATTGATGCCCCGTCTGCCGCGATGCAGCGCGCCGGTCAGCATGTCCATTGATGCCGCACAATGAAGCGCCGCGTCGCCCAGCGCCACGGTCGCCCGCCATGCGTCGCCTGGCATGCGCCTCCCGCCGCCCGAGCTCCGGCTATAAAAGTCGCCCGCCTCGCCGGTGAACGCCACACCGCAACACATCGCCCCTCCCCCCCTGCTCGCACATTCCACTCCCCCGCCGACGATCAATGGCAGCGCGGTACCCAGGCGATTCCGCGGCTAAGAACGGCTTCGGCCGCCGCCACCTCCACGAGTGGGAGGCACGCCTCCTTTTTGAGGCCGACTACCCGGCTCCCCCGGACATGAGGGTGTCGGGCGCGTGGCGTTTGAGCGCCGGCGGCGTGCCGGTGCCACCCGCTCCCACCGGGGCGGACCGGCGGACAGAGATCGCCCGCATTAGGTTGTCGCTGGCGGAGGAGCAGCGGCGAACGCCGGCGTACTTCCCCGACAACAACGCGTTCTGGACGATCTACTTCGACCACCGCCGCGACGGCCTGATCGCCTCCACCAACGGCGTCGTGCCTCGCGGCCGCCACAACGCCGAAGGGCGGCACGACTGGTGGGGGGTGCCCGGCCGCACCCTCGAGCACGTCCTCGACTACATCGAGGCCGGCAACACGCCGCGCCTCGAGTACCCCGTCCCCGCACCCCCGTCCTTCTCTCACCGCCGTGGCAGCTCGTGGATGTCGCGACGGTTGTCGGACGCGACGACCTCCTCCTCGGGCGGCTTGCCGGCGGCCTTCGCCGTCAAGCCCGAGCCGCAGGACACGACGGGGGAGTCCCCGCTAGGGCACCGCTCCCGCAGCGGCGCCCTGACCATCCCCGAGGAAGGCCGCGGCAGTCGCATGCGCCGCGTCCGGTCGAAAACCGAGCCGGAGCCTCCCCTACTCCCGGTGAAGCCGGGGCACCTCGCGATGGCCACCGCCGACGAGACGGCTATGATGTGGGCGAGGGAGGACTACGTCCGCGAGCAGGTGGCTCGCCAGCGCCGCGCTCTCGAGGAACTCAAGGCGCGCCACCCCCGCCCCGTCGGCGAGGTGGACGGCGTCCTCTACCTCGACAGCGACTAGGAGGAGGCCGGGCCATCCCGCGTCGGCGACCCTGGACAGGGCTGCAGCAGGGACATCAGCGGGTAGCAGGGCGAGGACGACGACGACGACGACGGCGGCGGCGGCGGCGGCGGAGACTACACCGACTTCTACAAGCGCCTAGGCATGTAGAAGTCGGACGGCGGCGAGGCGCGGCGAGGACGGCGTAGCTAGGCCGTGTTTGTTTTTTTATTTGTTTTTTGTACAAATCTGAATGAATGTCGTCGAGTTTGGGTGAATTTCGACGAGTTTGTGCCAAAAAACGCCGAATTCGTTTAGCCCTGGCGCCGACCTAGGGGCGACGACTGGACATGGATTTTTTAACATAGCAAAAGTAAAACTATCCTAGTCTACACGACTTTGTCTGACATGGGTGTCCATGCTCCACATCCTACTCTTTGTCGTCTGCCGTTTGACCGTGCGAGGCCGTCATATATTTGGCTATGGACTATTGTTAAAAACCTATGCGGCTATGCATATATATACTGCTGGTCCTATAACATATACTTCTTGAAAAGTACACAACTAATTGATTTTCAGGAAAGATGGACGGTTACAAAGGAAAGCTCTTCCACCAGGTTATAACAAAATGTAGAGTAACTTGAAACAGGAACCAAATTTATGAAAGGAAAAGCTATCACCTGGCCAATGCAACAAAACACAAAGGTGCAAACAGACCGTGGATTCAGTTCATTGTTCACGTCCTCTATATCTTCAAATTTTCAAATCAGCAAAAAAAAAAACTATGATCTTGACTGATTTTGGCACTGAGTTGCATTAGCACATGTAAAAATAGGGTTGCAACATGAGTTTCATTCGTCGTAGCACTTGTGTGGTTTTCTTTTTTTGCAGTGAGTCGAAGCAAAGTGGATCAAAAATACAAGAAAAAAACCTATGTGGATTAATACTGCTTTTACTTTCTAATTTATGTACGCTAAAGCAAAGATGGGGAAAACAATATTAATACTGCTTTTCCTGTATTTTACATCACAAAATATGTACTTTCAGTTATGTACGCTAGAGTAAAAACATGTTTTTTTCCGACAATAATCCATGTCCAATATTAATTAGATGCTCTTTGTTATTGGGGAAAAACAAAGAAAAGAAAAGAATTGCCAGATTGCCACTCTCAACAATCGAACCCAACACCTCTGCTATTTTTATTTATTTTTTGAGAATCACACCTTCTAGCATTAAAGGTTCGTTCAGAACGTATGCATGTAAAAAAAATGGTTCAAAACGTATGACATGTGATGGGCCGTGAATACAGATTTTGTGCAGACGTTGTTTTCACGGCGTGAGGGAGCAGCGCTTACTGTTCCGTGGGTCCGCACCAGAGTCCTTAATGTGTGGCGTTGCGTACAGCAGTATAGCACGTTCAATGCGAGCCCAGTCTCCGATCCCAACGAGAACAAGCGCACAAAGATAACATGTGCAGGCGAGGACGAGCACTCCTATGGATTTTCGATTGCTATATAAAAGGAAACAATTGCTTAACTTTCATTGCACCATTGTGCTGCTAACTGCTAAGATCCTCGTACTGCGAATCGTCACCACAATGATACTCGCAACTGCCGTCCTCACAAAGGTTGCACAATGGCTTTCCACTGCACACAAGACTATGCCCCAATCCAGTGATATATGTCTCATCCATCTACTTCTCGTCGCTCTTTTGATCGTCACGGCTGCCATCTATCTTGCACTCCGTCCTAGAAATGTATACCTTGTTGACTACTCTTGCTTCCGGCCAAGCTCCAACTTTAGATACCCAAAGGCAACCTCCGTCGAGCATGCACGACTCTCACCTTTGATTGATGATTCTACTGCCAACTTCATAGCTAGTATTCATGAGCGCTCAGGCATGGGCGATCAAACATATTTCCCACCAGTAGTTATGCACATGGAGCCATATTGTGGGCTTGATGAAGCACGCACCGAAGCAGAGTTGGTCGTCTTCTCAGTGATTGATGACCTTCTAGCCAAGACGTGCATCAATCTTGATGCGGTCGGTGTTCTTATCACCAACTGCAGCTTATTTTGTCCGGTACCATCCATCGCCGACATGATTGTAAATAGATACAAGTTACGAGGTGATCTCCGCGTCATGAACCTCTCTGGGATGGCATGCTCTGCATCGGTGACCGCAGTGGGGCTCGCGAGCAACATCCTGCGGTTCATGCCTTGGGGGTCATACGCGTTGGTGGTGTCAACGGAGATCGTTGGCCCATGCTACTATGTGGGAAACAAGCGTTCCATGCAACTGACTAACCTCTTGTTTCGTATGGGCGGTGTCGCCAAGCTTTTGTCGACTTCTAGGTCCAAGGCTCGGTTTCGGCTTGGGCATTTCACGCGAACGATCACGGCGGCAAGCAACACTGCCTACCGGTGTGTGTATCAAGAAGAAGATGAGAAGGGAAACCTGGGGATTGCACTCTCTAAAGACCTTATGGTTGTCGCTGGTGATGCACTCAGGGCTAATATCACATCAACCGCATCTCTTGTCCTACCAGCATCAGAGCTTTTCAAGTATGGATTCTTATGCATGGCCAAAAAGGTGCTTCATTGGAGGAAGATCAGACCATACATCCCAAACTTTTGTGTTGCATTTGACCATTTCTGCATCCATGTCGGTGGGCCGGCGGTTATCACCTCCGTACAACATGGCCTCGGCCTATCAGACAAGCATGTTGAGCCATCAAGAATGACACTGCATCGGTTTGGAAATCAGTCAACGTCATCAGTCTGGTATGAATTGGCATACATCGAAGCTAAAGGGCGGATGAAGAAAGGCAACAGGGTGTGGATGATCGGGTTCGGTGCAGGGTACGAATGCAACACTATTGGTTGGATGTGTATACAACCATCTTCTGGTGCGGATGGACCCTGGGCTAGCTGCATCCGTCATTACCCAGTGGATGTCTCCAACAAAGATTAAACTAAGAGGTTAATGAGTTAATCACATCGACATAATATACTACTACTACTACTACTACTACTACTACTACTACTACATCAACATCTAGAAGAGCAAATAGTATGATAATCTAATAAAAGGACACCACTCCTCCACTCCATTGACCAAAAGCCTATGCTCTTGTTTAGAGAGGGCAGAATAGTCATATGTTGGGCACTTTAGAGATTATCCAAGCGAATGTTTTTCTCAAAGTCATTGTATCGGCTTTGCTAATTGTAATGTATAAGTTGCTTGAGAACTCCCTGTCTCTAATTTGATTTTCGAAAAAGTGCAATTTAAGAAAGTGTTAGTTGGTGAAAAACACCAATACGCCATGTATATTTGGAATCTTGGATGGAGGGAGTGGCGCTGCGAGAGGATGATGATGATGTGTGGCGAGCATGAGGACACATGCATGCTGTGTAGACTGGGTCGACTGACTAATTTTTTTTTTCTGTGCAAAGGCCGAAGGTCAGTATATTAAGTACCCCAGGTCCTTGCAACACACACTCATACAAAAAGATAAATTACAATGAAATTTTTGGTGGTGCCAAAGTCTTCGTCCTTCTGGATCCACCGGCGACACGCCGAAGCTCGGTCCTGCTTTTGGGCCTCTGCCTTGACCGAGTAAATTTTAATAAAATCATTAACTTATAGAAGCAGCGGCCGAAAAGTCGTCGGTGCAGATCATGAGGCGCCGAAGGCCGTGATTCTATGAACCAAATCGCTGCCCTGAAGAAGGAAATGTCAATAAAGGCTTGTAGAAACTCTGAAGACCATCATCGCAAAAAAAAAAACTCTGAAGACCATAAAAGCTGGCTGAATCTAGGTAGATCCACCAGAAACATAAACCGACTAAGACCCATCAAAGACACGGCTCCGCCTTGACCGTTGGCAGTAAGCACACCAATAAAACGGGAAAAGAGTAGGGAGAACATTATTCCTACACTGAGACAATGTTGTCGCCTCGCCACCCCCAAACCAAACATGAAGACTCCCTAAAGAAAACTTGAAAAAAAAAACTTGTCCATGCTGCTACATGACAAGTTTGAGTATGATGTTGAGATTGCCACCGTCTAGGAGCATGCGCCGACACCCTCTTCTTGGATGACCTAGACAGGCCGGGGCGCCCGCCGCCAGCTTGGCCAGCACCGCCGCCGAGCACAGCGACGCGGATCACTGGAACATGCATCTCCTTGGCCTTCTCACAGCAGCCCTCCAACGACCAGGCGTATACCAATTGGACGGCGCGATCGCGGGGTACGCGATCCGATCGGTCGGCCGACGGCGACGCCTACCGCTGGCCAAACTGCAATCGATAGGGTACTCGCTAGGCGCTAGCGCGCAGACAGTGCGACCTTTGGGTTGGCCCTCGGAGCTGTTTAAAGATGGAGACGGCTCGGTTGGTTGGTGGATCGGATCAGCCATAGCGTTCGCTGTGACTTGTGAGTGCGACGCAGAGACCATGACGCTGTACGTCCCAAGCAACGCCCGGTCCCTCCCTCCCTCCCTTGAATGCCTCCGCACCAAATGCCACGGCGCGTGCGTGGAACACGACTCGCCTGTGAGCGCGCGGTGTTGCCGGAGTCTTTTCTCAAAACGTCAGCACTCTAGAATCTGGACGACTTACCTATAAACCGGAAAGGAACGCGGCAACAGAGCACTGCAGCAACACACACACACACACACTGTGAGTGAAAGCTTGAGCTAGGAAGCCTGGAATGGGGCTGCTCCTGCTGCTTCAGGTCCTCCTCGTCGCAGGGGCGGCGGCGAGGGCTCCGGCGGCGCGGGCGTGGGGCGTGGAGGGCCACTACATGACCTGCAAGATCGCCGAGGTACATTAGTCCACTGGTACGTAGTACATCACAAAATGCAGAGACGGACGCGCGAACTGAACTGATTCTCGCAGGGTTTGCTGACGAGCGAGGCGACGGCGGCGGTGAAGGGCCTCCTGCCGGGATGGGCCAACGGCGAGCTCGCGGAGGCGTGCTCGTGGCCGGACATCGAGCGGCGCCGGCTGCCGTGGTCGGGCTCCCTGCACTTCGCCGACACCCCCGGCGACTGCAAGTTCAGCTACGCAAGTACGTACTCGACAGCGCTCCTCGTATTCCTGCTCTCGGTGTTTAGATTTCCTTTTTCTTCAATGCCTATGTTTGTGTGGTCGAAGAACGTTAATCTCTTCAAACGAATTGATCCATGAATCGGTGGAAACAAACATGAAAATTGTCTAAATATCTGTAACAGAATGGAAGAAATACGTAGGATTATTCTTTGCTCTTTTAACTGCACACGATGAAGCACAAATAAGATAAAAAGCATCTACAGGGACGCCTCATGTCAGCCTCAAACGTCCGACGGGCTGCCCAAACACAAAATTGTCACCCAATCAAACCTGAGTAATTCGGCCCAAATGTCCGGACTGGCCAACAACCCCTATATCCAGCCCATATCTTTGGCGGATATGGGACGCCCACCGCGTCGGATCTGATACACTATGGCCCACCCGACCCCACGTATATTGTTCTCTATCCGCACTCTGGAAAAAACCCTAGCCGCATTCCATTCCCTTCCATCCCAAGCTCCCTTACGGCGATCTCCAGCCTTCTCTGGCATGGCGGGCGGAGGATCCGAGTCTTATACCTCCTGGTCCGTTGAACGAAAACTCGTCACATGCGGCCCCGAGGAGGAGATGGATGTCTGCATTGCGCTCCACGTTGCCAAGAGGAGTCCGCCCGATAGCGGTTCGACTCCATGCAGAGAAAATCCATTGCGTCGGCCCAAATGAAGCATGGATCCGGCGCGAGGCTAGTCGCCGGAGACGGTGTGGTCTGAGCGCCGTGGTGGAGGCGCAACCCCTTTTTTGGCACGTCAAGTCGGAGGTGCACGCCGGCACTGTGTTCGACCTGAATATGGCATGGTGTGCCCATCATGTGAGGCGGTGGGGTGGAGGGTGAGGCATACTCACACTCTCCGGCGTCGCGACGGTGACTAGCAACCCTGACACTGCAAGCACACCGTGGTGGACTGTCGGTTCCGACCACGGCGGATCCATCATCAACCTGACATCGACTGGCGACATGCAAACCACAGGCTCCGACGAGGAAGAGTAAGGGATACGAGACGGTGACGCCTCAAGTCCTGTGAGCCGGTTCTTGTCTCATGTCCTATTTTACCTCGCCGGCGACCGCACCTCCACTCCGAGGGGCTCCGCCGAGCAGCTAGACAAGGATATCGCCAGAAAAACAAGGACAGTCGCCAGTGAAAATTTAGACTAATTTTGCATCACCTGTAATCATATGAATTTGATGATTTTAAAATGAAGTAGCGGGTTGTGGAAAAAATTGTTTGTGTGTTGACCGGCCACTGTGCGCGATGCGTCCGGACGCGTCCGTGCACTGTTTTTGGATACCAACCATCGGACGGGTGCCGGAGTTTGCAGAGTTGTGGTTGTAGATGTTCTAACTGTGTAATGCTGGACAGGGGACTGCCACGGTCCGAAAGGGGAGAAGAACATGTGCGTGATCGGAGGCATAAACAACTACACCGCCGCGCTCCAAGACTCCTCAAGCTCGTGTAAGCATATGGACTTACTGAAACCTACTGACGAGCACACAGCAACTTTGGCTCACTGCATATGGCATATCATTCAGATAATCGGACGGAGAGCCTGCTGTTCCTGGCGCACTTCCTCGGCGACGTCCACCAGCCGATGCACTGCGGCCGCACCGCCGACCTCGGCGGTAACACCATCCTCGTCACCTGGTACAGCACAGCCAAGACCAACCTTCACAAGGTACGTCGGCAGTACAGCATGGGTGCATAGCATGGAGGCTTGGACCCCTAGTACTGATTTTCTCTGCTCGCTCCTCTGTCTAACATAACATGGGTGCACTGCATGCATTTGGTTTTCAGGTGTGGGATGACAAGGTCATCCAGAAGGCCATGAGAGCATCTTCAACAGGCACGGCAAAAGACGAGCCCGCGCGGTAAATCTTGGTTTTAGCGCGCGCCGGCTGGTTCCGCGCGCTTCAGCGGTGGCGGAAACTTATCGCGCGCGGGAAGCGTTTGCGCACGGTAGATTTGGGCGCCGCTTCG